TCTCTCTCTCTCTCTCTCTCTCTCTCTCTCTCTCTCTCTCTCTCTCCCTATCTCTCCCTATCTCTCTCTCTCTCTCTCCCTATCTCCTCTCCCTGCTCAGCATCGGGAGAAGAATCAGATTTAGGGCCATGTGCTAGGATTACATACAAACATACAAACATTTTAAGTGGCTGTGGTTCTTGGACTAAGTTACTGAAACCTAGAAAGAAACTTTTAAGTTCCTTAGCTGATATTTACTAGAGGATCCTTCCCATCACTTGCAGTAAACTGTACGTTGTTAGACTGCAAGCTTCCAAGAAAATCACCAATCGACTGTGATTAAACCAAATAAGTCAAGACATAAAGAGATAAAGACATTCAGAGCAGAATTAAAAGCTTGGAGGAAGAGACGAGTGTTCCTGACTAGGAAGCCAGCAGAGAAGCCTTCCAAGTTATACGCTGAAGAAGGGATGAGTTGGGAGGCACAAAGCACAAACTGTTAGAGGGCAAGCGACAGTGGGGACCAGACGGACTGAGAGACCCCAGACTGTCAGGGCACCGACAGCGAAGCCTGGACGAGAAGATCTTGGAGGGATAACAAAGAAGCAAAGAAAAACTGCGTTCTGGGGTCCTAAAAGAACCCAAGCATCTGGCAAAGCCAGCTAGTCCGGGAAGTAGGGATGAGAAGATGCAGAGATGAGGGCGGGCAGCAGCACGCGACAGAATGGGGGGAGGGGGGACATGCAAAGAGCGAAGCTGGGTCCCTGTCCCTCTGCCCCTAGTGCAGATCCCAACTCCTTATCGTTCATAGGCTCGCCTCGCCGAGTCCCAGACGCGGGGGGGCGGCCGATGGAGCCCCTGCAACTTCAGGACCCTGACTCACCTTGTTAGCCGCGCGTCCCAGCGTCCCGCCGCCTGTCCACCAGCTGCGAGGGCCAAAGAACGAGTCGCACGGCACAGCCCCTGCTCCCTCTTGCTACGAGGTACCGGCCTCCGCACCTCCTCACCCCGAGCTCGCCGTGGTCACTTCGCCCTGTCCTCGCGCGGGCGGAGAGCGCGGACCCTAAACCGAACGCCGCTCCAGTTATTTTTCAAAGTCCCTGTTCCAGGCGACCCCGGAATAGGAGCGGAGCTGCGGCAGCCGCAGCGGCAGCGCCTCCGCCTCCGCCTGACCTCACCGAGGGGTGTGGGGAGAGGCAGGGGGCGGCAGACGAGTTAAGGAGGGGAGAGGTGAGGAGGCAGGAGGAGGGGGAGAGCGCGCGGGCAGGGGAAACATGGCGGCGGGGGCCCTGGCGGCGCCTGCGCGGGAGGCGAGGGAGCTGAGGCTAGGACTGTGCTGACGGTCGGAGCACAACCCCTCCGCGGTAGCTGCGAGTGGTGAGGGTGGGCTAGGAGAGGGGGGTGGACGCCAAGTGGCCGTCACGCCTCCGAAACCAGAGCGCTCGCGTGGGAGCACACAAGGCTTCTAGTGCCCTGGAGGCAGGGGAGGTGACACTGTCAAGTGTCCAGGAAAGGCAGTCCCGCTTAGCCACTCCAAGGGGAGGCCCGCCTGTGCCTCCTGCCTACGCCTCTTACGAGCCCCTATCACAGCCCCCCACCTTCACGGAGGGCCCAGACACACGGTGTGTTTGACCTCGGTGGGGCATGCACCTCAAAATAAGCCTGACCTAGGCTCCCACACAACTGTTAATCACTCCTGAAGTGCTGTGAGCATTTCATCTCTCCCCTCTCCATACCAGAGTACAGAGTATTAACAAAGAGGAAGAATAACACCAATACAGCAGTTTAACGTTTTACTGAATGTTTACGATGAACCAAGAGCTGAATTGTTTACTCATACCTACTCCACGAGGTCCACATTATCTCCATTTTTTCAAGTATCGTCACTTGAAAAAATGGAGATAATAATGAGTTGTAAAAGTCAAACAAGTTGTCCAAGGTTACACAATTAGTAAGGGGAAGAGCAGGGCCTAGGATCCCAAGCAGGTTGACTCTAGTTCCCAGCTCTCAACCACTGTGCTCTACCGCTTCGAAACTGGTGGAACTGCTGCTATTCAAAGTCAGACACTTGATTCTCTCCTCCCAGTTCTGACAGTGTAGCCTCCAACAGAAACCCCAGTCACACCTGATTTTCCTCTGTTCAGGTCTTCTCTTCGTTCTGTGCTGTTCTTGACTGTTTATAGCCTGGGGCCACCTTCTTACACTGCTTCCTTTGCCTTTTCTACTTATAATTCCAAATTGGAAAAAATAAATGGGAGCTTGCTTTTAGCAACCAGTTTACTCAATATTTGTTTTTCTTTTTCTTAAGGAAGTGATGGGGTGAGAGTGGGGACTGTAGTTCTTTATGTTTCCTAGTATTTCTCCCATTGCCTACCATTAAACAGATCAGGAATTTGAGATCACAATATTGCTGGCTTGGTATTTCAAATTGAATACACAGAAATTCTTATTGTGGGTTTCTGGTAACTTTGAAAATAATCAGCTCCTCAAAACTGTGTTAAAGATCTAACCATATTGTTAGGCCTTATCAAACTGGTGAATAGATAAGAACTCCAAACACACATGGTGTTTGCATTATCTATTACCTCTCAGTGTGTTTTACACAATTCATCTTCATTAACAGGGTGCATTCACTGGCTTCTCCACCACGCTTATTTAATAATTATTGTATACCTATGTTACAGCAGTTCCCCCCTTATCCACAGAGGATATGTCCAACACTCCCAGTGGATACCTGAGAATGTGGACAGTACCAAACCCTGTCTATACTATGTTTTTTCCTACACATACATACCTATGATAAAATTTAATTTACAAATTAAACACAGTACGAGACTGACAGCAGTAACTAATAAAATAGAACAATGGTAATTTACTGTGATAACAGTTATGTGAATGTTGTCTTTCTCTCCATTAAATTTTCATATTTTCCAGTCCAAACATATTCCTGAATCTGTGTAGCCACCCCTTACTTGCAATAAATGGCTTGGTGTCACTCGTTTCGGGGTGGTCCCTTGCTGAAGTTGTCATATAGGCTCAATGCTTTCTGAAGCAACACGTTACCATCAATCGAAACAGGTTTTCTGTTCATGTCTTCCACTCACAAATTTAATGGCTGTTCCAACTTAACTAAACACTTATCATGCACTGTGGCCGAAACTTTTAGTTTGAGGTGCAACAACAAATCGAGCACAAATTTCTTTTTCATTCCTCACAATTTCACAGGTAGAAGATTTGTTCTTATCTTACATCTTAGCAACCTCAGCATACAACTTTTTTCCTTTCCTTATTAAGTCAAGAACTTTAATCTTTTCACTTAAAGGAAGCATTTTATGGCTTCTTTTTAGCATATCTGAATTTCCAGTATCACTACTCTTGCACTGTGTAAAATAAAATAAAAGTGATTTGAACACAAGCAGTGCGATACCACAGTCAGTCAATCTGATAACAGAGACAGCTACTAAGTAACCAATGTGCAAGTAGCATATACAGCATGGGGACACTGGAAAAAGGAATGATTCACATCCCTGGCCGGATGGATCAGTAGGGTACGAGATTTCATCATGCTGCTCAGAATGGTGCACAATTTAATACTTATGAACTATTTATTTCTGCAATTTTCCATTTAATAATTTCAGACCACGGTTGTCCACAGGTAGCTGAAATCACAGAAAACAAAATCATGGATGGGGGAACTACTGTACAAACAAAATGCCGATTAGGTGGAAAGCACCTGTTAACAGATGTTTTCAGTCTCATTAAAGAGGCATGTTTAAAGCAATTGATTTCAGCCTACATGAAAAGTCTGGCATGTAGGTTGAAATAAATACAAACTGAGTTGATATACATCCAAGTCATGGCTATATCCCTGCCATGAAAAGGTTCAAGTGGGGTTGTTTTACAATAAGTTCTCAAATAGAAATGACAGGGAAAATGGGATAATCAGGTGTGGCCCCAGCAGAGCTTCACACAATGTGAAAACACTTTAGGGTATATAGCAAGGATGTGGGCAATTATATTATAGAATCAGCATTTGAACAACCAGATAGGAATAAGATATTACAAATACACTTATTCAGCAGGAATTATTGGGTTGTCAGAAAAGTCATGACGCATTTTTGCAATGAAAAACAAAGAAAAAATACGTCATGACTTTTCAGACAACCCAATAGTTGCTGTTTGGGTTAGGATGCTTTGGGTAGTTAATCTAGTGGGCCCAACACTCTACCTTGGAGTCAGAAGACACTTTTGTGCTATGTGACATTAAGTTAGCCCCATCACCTCTCTGAGTGCTTTCCTGAATTTAGTGTGGGGATAATAATGATACTGGCCTGACCTGCCTCACAGTATTTTTAAAATAAATCTTGTGAAAGTGACTTGTAAGCTTGTAAATAACATATATACACATGTAAGGCAATGGTTTTGTTAATATCAGACTGGCCACTAGAAGCTAGAAATGTGCTTATGAAGGATTTTATAATATAAGTTAACATGTAGCCAAAAATGTGAAAAATTAGGAAAAGCATTTGAAATAGTACAATAAAAAACTGAGGAATGGGTAGATGTAACAGAGGTCCAGGGAATATGAAAACAAGTCAAAACAAAATATTAGTGGTAAAAAAAATACAGAAAAGAATGATGGCTATTATGGGCTCAATTCTGTCCCCACCCTTAAAATTCATATGTTGAAATCTTAACCCTCAAAACCTTCGAATACAATCTTATTTTGAGATAAATTCCTTAAAGAGATTATTCTATTAAAATGAGGTCTTTAGGCTGGGCCCTAATCCAACATGATTATTGGCCTTATGAGAAGAGGAGATTAGGACATATACATGCATGCAAACAGAGGAAAGACCACATGAGGACACAGTGAGAAGGTGGCCATCTGCAAGGCAAGGAAAGAGGCATCAGAAGAAACTAAACCTGATGACACCTTGATCTTGGACACATCGCTTCTATGAGAACTGTGAGAAAATGTCTGTTTATTATTGTTTAAACAAACCAGTTTTTGTTATGACAGCTCTAACAAACTAATATAATGGCAAACATTTTAAATGCCAGCTAGAGTAAGCTCTGTATTAGTTATTGTTAATTGCTGTGTAACATATTGCTACAAACTTGGTGGCCACACACATTTATTATCTCAGTGTCTGTGGGTCATGAATCCAGGCGTGGCTGAGCTGGGTAAATTGCTCAGGGTTTCATCATGCTGAAATCAAGGTGTCAGCCAAGCTGTGTTCACATGTGGAGCTCAGAATCCTCTTCAAGCTCATTCAGGTTTTTTTCTGAATTCCATTCCTTATCGTTGGAGGACTGAGACCCTCAGCATCTACAGGACATTTACAACATGGCTGCTTGCTTTGTATAAGTCAGCAGAACTCTCTCTTCTAGAAGGGACTTTAATTACATCTTCAAAATCTCTTCACCTTTGTCATATAATATAACCTAATCATCGAAATAATCTCTCTCAGCATATTCACAGGTCTCAACAACACTTAAGTGCGGGGGGTGGTGGGGAGGGGGAGGGTATTTAGGGCATGTACACCAGAGAGCAAGAATCTTAGAGGTCATCTTAGAATTCTGCCTACCATGCCCCCCAACAGTTTGACAGCACCAATTTAATTGTATATTTTTAAAAATTCACTAAGACAGAGACCATACAGGCAGATGTGGACACACACACACATACACACACACAAAACAGCACCAAGCCATGACTGATGCCGAGTCTGCCAAGAAGCATTTGCAAGCCTGCTGTGTGTGAAATAAACATGAAACCAAACAACTTCGATTGCATTAACACTGATTAAAGAACAAATTTAAATGTATTGGGATACCATTTTGCCTCTCTACTCAATTTGCATTTCTTCAAAACACTCATCGGATCCATTATTGAATAGAACCAGTATTTATGGAGAGCCCACAGGTGTCTACTTAGCCCATTACTCACTCCATAGAGTGGAATAATGAACAGAATACAGAAAAAAGTTTCACAAACTAGACAAGTAGCCCCAATACACACACACACACACACACACACACACAGAGTGTGGGATGGGGGTGTTTAAATACAGAAATAAATACACACTAAGTAAAGAGATACCAACATGTTCCTATCCCCTTAGTCAGATAAGCAGTTCTAAAATAAGTGAGCTTTTAGAAGAGCTCAAGATCGAGCTTGAGGAGTCAGAGGGAGGAAAACACCTAAAGGATCTGTACAGATTTTCTAACATCAAGGAAATCCCTA